CCCACTTTTTTTTGTTCTCCATTTGCTTGGTAAATCTTCCTCCATCCCTTTATTTTGAGCCTATGTATGTCTCTGCGTGTGAGATGGGTCTCCTGAATACAGCAGACTGATGGGTCTTGACTCTTTATCCAGTTTGCCAGTCTGTGTCTTTTAATTGGAGCATTTAGTCCATTTACATTTAAGGTTAAGATTGTTATGTGTGAACTTGATCCTGCCATTATGATATTAACTGGTTATTTTGCTCGTTAGTTGATGCAGTTTCTTCCTAGCCTTGATGGTCTTTACATTTTGGCATGTTTTTGCAATGGCTGGTACCGGTTGTTCCTTTCCATGTTTAGTGCTTCCTTCAGGGTCTCTTGTAAGGCAGGCCTAGTGGTGACAAAATCTCTAAGCATTTGCTTATCTGTAAAGGATTTTATTTCTCCTTCACTTATGAAACTTAGTTTGGCTGGATATGAAAGTCTGGGTTGAAAATTCTTTTCTTTAAGAATGTTGAATATTGGCCCCCACTCTCTTCTGGCTTGTAGAGTTTCTGCCGAGAGATCTGCTGTTAGTCTGATGGGCTTCCCTTTGTGGGTAACCCGACCTTTCTCTCTGGCTGCGCTTAAGATTTTTTCCTTCATTTCAACTTTGGTGAATCTGGCAATTATGTGTCTTGGAGTTGCTCTTCTCGAGGAGTATCTTTGTGGCGTTCTCTGTATTTCCTGGATTTGAATGTTGGCCTGCCCTACTAGGTTGGGGAAGTTCTCCTGGATGATATCCTGAAGAGTGTTTTCCAACTTGGTTCCATTTTCCCCCTCACTTTCAGGCACCCCAATCAGACGTAGATTTGGTCTTTTTACATAATCCCATACTTCTTGCAGGCTTTGTTCATTTCTTTTTCTTCTTTTTCTTTTGGTTTCTCTTCTCGCTTCATTTCATTCATTTGGTCCTCAATCGCTGATACTCTTTCTTCCAGTTGATCGAGTCGGTTACTGAAGCTTGTGCATTTGTCACGTATTTCTCGTGTCATGGTTTTCATCTCTTTCATTTCGTTTATGACCTTCTCTGCATTAATTACTCTAGCCATCAATTCTTCCACTTTTTTTTCAAGATTTTTAGTTTCTTTGCGCTGGGTACGTAATTCCTCCTTTAGCTCTGAGAAATTTGATGGACTGAAGCTTCTTCTCTCATCTCGTCAAAGTCATTCTCTGTCCAGCTTTGATCCGTTGCTGGCGATGAGCTGCGCTCCTTTGCCGGGCGAGATGCACTCTTATTTTTTGAATTTCCAGCTTTTCTGCCCTGCTTATTCCCCATCTTTGTGGTTTTATCTGCCTCTGGTCTTTGATGATGGTGATGTACTGATGGGGTTTTGGTGTAGGTGTCCTTCCTGTTTGATAGTTTTCCTTCTAACAGTCAGGACCCTCAGCTGTAGGTCTGCTGGAGATTGCTTGAGGTCCACTCCAGACCCTGTTTGCCTGGGTATCAGCAGCAGAGGCTGCAGAAGATAGAATATTTCTGAACAGCGAGTGTACCTGTCTGATTCTTGCTTTGGAAGCTTCCTCTCAGGGGTGTACTCCACCCTGTGAGGTGTGGGGTGTCAGACTGCCCCTAGTGGGGGATGTCTCCCAGTTAGGCTACTCAGGGGTCAGGGACCCACTTGAGCAGGGAGTCTGTCCCTTCTCAGATCTCAACCTCCGTGTTGGGAGATCCACTGCTCTCTTCAAAGCTGTCAGACAGTCGTTTGCGTCTGCAGAGGCTTCTGCTGTGTTTGTTATTGTTTACTGTGCCCTGTCCCCAGAGGTGGAGTCTACAGAGACAGGCAGGTTTCCTTGAGCTGCTGTGAGCTCCACCCAGTTCGAGCTTCCCAGCAGCTTTGTTTACCTACTTAAGCCTCAGCAATGGCGGGCTCCCCTCCCCCAGCCTCGCTGCTGCCTTGCCGGTAGATCACAGACTGCTGTGCTAGCAATGAGGGAGGCTCCGTGGGCGTGGGACCCTCCCGGCCAGGTGTGGGATATGATCTCCTGGTGTGCCTGTTTGCTTAAAGCGCAGTATTGGGGTGGGAGTTACCCGATTTTCCAGGTGTTGTGTGTCTCAGTTCCCCTGGCTAGGAAAAGGGATTCCCTTCCCCCTTGCGCTTCCCAGGTGAGGCAATGCCTCGCCCTGCTTCAGCTCTCGCTGGTCAGGCTGCAGCAGCTGACCAGCACCGATCATCCGGCACTCCCCAGTGAGATGAACCCAGTACCTCAGTTGAAAATGCAGAAATCACCGGTCTTCTGTGTCGCTCGCGCTGGGAGTTGGAGACTGGAGCTGTTCCTATTCGGCCATCTTGCTCCGCCCCCCCGTTTTTTTTTTTTTTTAGATGGAGTCTTGCTCTGTTGCCCAGGCTGGAGTGCAGTGGTGCGATCTCTGCTCATTGCAGTCTCTGCTTCCCGGGCTCAAGTAATTCTCCTGCCTCAGTCTCAAGCGATTCTCCTGCCTCAACCTCCTGAGTAGCTTAGGATTATAGGCCATGCACCACCATACCCGACTAATTTTTGTATTCTTAGGAGAGACGGGGTTTCATCATGTTGGCTAGGCTGGTTCTGAACTCCTGACCTCAAATGATCTGCCAGCCTTGGCCTCTCAAAGTGTTGGGATTACAGGCCTGAGCCACCACGCCTGGCCAGGACATGACCACTTGGATGTGCTTCCCCTGGTGTTTTTCCCATCTCAGTAAGTGGCAACTCCATCTTTCCAGTTGCTCAAGCCCCAAATCATGGCATCACCCTTGATTCCTCTTTTTCATTCTTCACTCATACCCCCTATTCAGTCCAATCCTTTGACAGACCATGTGGCTCTCTCCCTTCGAAGTATTTCAGAATCCACCACTTCTCAACTCCTCTACCACTATCATCTGGTCCAAGATATCATTTTACCTCACTTGGATTATTGCAAAAACCTAGCTAGTCTCCCTGCTGCTACCCTTGTCTTCTAGGGGTCTGTTCTCAATACAGTATTCAGAGCATTCCTTTGGAAATGTCAGCTCATTTCAATCCTCTGCTCAGAACCTTCCATTGACTTCACATCTTACTTAGAGTAAAAGCCAAAGTTCTGAAACTGGCCTATAAAGCCTTATGCAGTCCATATATAAGACTAGAGGTTTATAGTAAAATAGTGCTTCTACTTTGGTGAGAGTTCTTAACACAATCTTTGCTGCATAATCTTTCTCATATCAAATGCAGATATTTTCTGTACTGGGTTCAAGGCCTGTACTTACACAGTAAACCATAATGTGGATTATCATGCAGTAATTTAATTGTTCTCTTTAGTCTTATATTTTGATCTGTAGCCTTAAGAATCATTATTTTGCCGGGCGCGGTGGCTCAAGCCTGTAATCCCAGCACTTTGGGAGGCCGAGACGGGAGGATCACGAGGTCAGGAGATCGAGACCATCCTGGCTAACACAGTGAAACCCCGTCTCTACTAAAAAATACAAAAAAACTAGCCGGGCGAGGTGGCGGGCGCCTGTAGTCCCAGCTACTCAGGAGGCTGAGGCAGGAGAATGGCGTGAACCCGGGAGACAGAGCTTGCAGTGAGCCGAGATCCGGCCACTGCACTCCAGCCTGGGCGACAGAGCGAGACTCTGTCTCCAGAAAAAAAAAAAAAAAAAAAAAAAAAAAGAATCATTATTTTTTTTTTCATGGCTATAAAGCTAAAGAGAATTAAAAACAAACAATAAAAAACAACAAAAAAAATCATAAGTTTAAAAATTTATAGTTGTTTTAAAATGTGTTCTGGGCCGGGCACTGTGGCTTACGCCCGTAATCCCAGCACTTTGGGAGGCCGAGGCGGGCGGATCACCTGAGGTCAGGAGTTCCAGACCAGCCTGGCCAACATGGTGAAACCCCGTCTCTACTAAAAATACAAAAATTAGTCAGGCGTGGTGGCGGACGCCTGTAATCCCAGCTACTTGGGAGGCTGAGACACGGGAATTGCTTGAACCTGGGAGGCGGAGGTTGCAGTGAGCCGAGATCATGCCACTGCACTCCAGCCTGGGCGAAAGAGTGAGACTCCATCTCAAAATAAGAGACTCTGTCTTAAAATAAAATAAAACAATAAAATAAAATAAAGTTTTTGGCTTTAAATATAATTTATTCATTCTAGAAACACTTATACGGGCATATTATGTACCAGGCACTCGGGTTACAAAAACGAATAGAAAGAGCTGCACATCAGTAATTTTCCCAACTGTGAGTGAACGGTTTTATTATGCATACACATGTATAGACAATTCCATAAGGATTGCCTATTATTCATTACACAGAAGCCAGGGCATAAATTGTATGCTGAGTAAGTAAATCAAAAGGGAAGCATCACTGTTTCTCCTTTTGATTTTTCTCCTATGTTTCCTTTATTCCTTTTTACATTTTGAGTAGTAAAAGAGTCTCCACATCCCTGACTGGCGTTTGCTAGCTGTATCACTCCTCTCTGATTTCAGACTTCTTTAGTTTGTTTCCATCTTCTGTTTTTAATAGTTTTTTTTTCAGACAAAAAGGTCATGTAGATGATATTTTCAGTATCTTTCATTTCTAAGCATGCTGCTTTATACACAGTAGGCCCTCAAATCTCTGGGTGCTTATAAATATGATTTTTGCTTCATCTAATTCTCTAGCCATGCAGTTAAGGTTACAGGATGTGTTACTTAGTATATTAAAAAAGAATGATATGAAATATGAAAAACAAAGCCATTTGCTGACAGAAGGTTTTTTTTTTTTTTTTTTTTTTTTTTTTCTCTTTCTACCTTTAGACACAGGGAAAGTTCCTAAGGTTTGAATTTGGGGTAGTATATTGAGTCTCATTTGAGTGTTGAGGACATTTGGATACAAAAGAATTTTAAATCATAAAGAGTTTTAAATGTAGAATATAATGGAAAGCCTATTTTTTTGGCCTATTACATGCCTGAATAGCCATGAATTGGAAATTTTACAATGTCAGTTTCATATAAAAATTCTCTTCCCTTCTCTTTTTTCTTTTATTAGCTATAAGCATTCAGATGAAAACCCTGTCACTTGTAATGGACCCCCTGTGGAAATTCCTGGAGAATATACGGATAAGTTGAATGTGACTTACACTTATTCTGTGAGATTGAAGTAAGTACTTCATGCCATCATCTTAATTTTTTTCCAAAGCAAGTATATAAATATCATGTACATAATATTAAATAGTACGTTTTTCTTAATTTAAAGTTGTATAACACAGCTAAGAACCCAAGAAAGCACGTAAATTCTTTCTGTTCCAACAATTTAATGGACAGTCATTACAGGAATTACTGTGTTAAATCTACTACATTTCAGATACTGTGCCAGCTACTTTACTTTCTCTTACTTCATATTAAAAGTTTGAAGTTTGAAAGAGGTACATGGGGAACAAGAGGGACATCTTCTGGGTTTGGCATGCTGGCTGGCTGCTCAAGTGGGACCTTAAAGGAAGAATATCACATGGAAGAGACACAGTGTAGCATAAAGAATGCAGACAATGGCAGACTGACCTGTGATTCAAATTGCACCTTTGCCACTTACTAGCTGTGTGAGCTTAGGTAAGTCACATGATGTCTGAGTCTTGATTTCTTCTCATGTCATTTACTTCTCATTTTCAGAATATGTAAAGCCCTTAGCATGGTACCTCACACAGAGTAGGTTCCCAATACATGGCATTCACCATTGTTTGTATGTCTTGACTTTTTTCTTTCACAAATAATTTTTCTTTTTACAAAGATTGTGTGTAGTTTTGGTTAAAAAAAAAAGATATAGATAGATATACTATAAACATTAGAAATAGATATATATACTATAAACATTCTAGTGAATATTCTGTGATGGCTGTGTTTCACAATGGCTTTTTGTTAACCAGTTGTCTCCTGTTATATTTATTTTGCTTGGTATTTTATTTTTATTTCTTATTTTTGAGACAAAGTCTTGCTCTGTCACCCAGGCTGGAGTGCAGTGGTGAGATCTCAGCTCACTGCAACCTCCGCCTCCGTTCAAGCAATCCTGCCTCAGCCTCCCAAGTAGCTGGGATTACAGGTGTGCACCACCATGCCTGGCTAAGTTTTGTATTTTTGGTAGAGACAGGGTTTCACCAAGTTGGCCAGGCTGGTCTCGAACTCCTGACCTCAGGTGATCCACTCACTTCGGCCTCCCAAAGTGCTGGGATTACAGGCATGAGCCACTGCGCCTGGCCAGAAGTGACATATTAAAAGATGATATTCATGACACTCTAGTGCTTTACTTGCCCCCGGACCAGATGTTTGTGTTCGTGTGTCAGGGACTCTTAGCCCTGGACTGTATTAGTGGTGCTTCACCAAAGGACTGATTTTAGGCTGTTCTTTTAATAGGGAAAACCTTTTATGACTATGTAAATCTACGTATTTCCAGTTTTAGTCTTTTTAAGACTGTGTATCGTGTATATATATGTATGCGTATATATATGTATGTGTATATATATGTGTGTGTGTGTGTGTGTGTGTGTGTGTGTGTGTATATATATTTTTTGAGACCGAGTCTCGCTCTGTTGCCCAGGCTGGAGTGCAATGGCACAATCTCGGCTCACTGCAACCTTCCGGGTTCAATGATTCTCCTGCCTCAGCTTCCCAAGTAGCTGAGATTACATGCACCTGCCACCACACCCGGCTAATTTTTGTATTTCTTTTAGTAGAAATGGGGTTTCACCATGCTGGCCAGGCTGGTCTCGAACCCCTGACCTCAGGCGATCCGCACGCCTCAGCCTCCCAAAGTGCTGGGATTACAGGCGTGAGCCACTGTGCCCAGCTGTATATCATATTTTTGATTCAGCTTTTGTTATACTCAGTTTCATCTAAGGCTTATTTTTTATAGCTTCAGATATTCTTTCCTGAGACCAAATCCTAATCACCGTATTTGGGGCTAGGTCTCAAATCTCGAACATTTACAAATTATGCTTGGTTTGTGTCATTTCTGTAGATGGCCTGACAGCCATTATAAAATGATTCTTCCTAATCTCCTTCTGAAAGCAATTCCACATTAGGAATTCCTCGCTTTTGTCCCTATGTATCACCTTTAGTGGTTATCTCCATTTTATAAATGAGGCTACTGAAGCCCAGCAAGCTAAAGTAATTTTCTCAGGATCACAGCTAGCAGGTGGTGCAAGTGATATTCAAACCTAGGTCTGTCTGGCCCCCAAACTCATAGTTTTTCTACTATACCATTCTGGCTTTCTATCTTGAGGGTCTATTATATTTTCTGCCTACAGAGTCACTGTAAAGAAAATGAGAACCATTTATGTTAGAAATGTGTGTGTGTGCCTTGAATCATTTAGCTAGAGGTCAGGATTACTTGATCCTACATCCTGCAGTTTACCCAAAGTACAATTGGTGAAAACAGGCAATTTACTAGTCCAATAAATATGGTCCAGTCTTCTAATCTTTGGATGAAATACCGAAGTGTAATCTGAGGAAAGAAATGAAATGCACTCTGAAGGGGCCAGGCATTGTGGCTCATATCTGTAATCCCAGCACTTTGGGAAGCAGAGGCGGGTGGATCACCTGAGGTCAGGGGTTCGAGACCAGCCTGACCAACATGGTGAAACCCCATCTCTACTTAAAATACAAAAATTAGCCGGGCATGGTAGCGCATGCCTGTAGTCCCAGCTACTCGGGAGGTTGAGGCAGGAGAATCACTTGAACCTGGGAGACAGAGGTTGCAGTGAGCCGAGATCATGCCATTGCACTCCAGCCTGGGTGACAGAGTGAGACTCTGTCTCAAAAAAAAAAAAAAAAAAAAAAAAAAAAAAAAAAAGCCATACCAAATGGGAGAATGTGGAAAATCCCCTTATTTCAGGTTAGGTCTCAACCCCTTGTTCCTCAACAGTAAGTCTAATCCTGGAAACAGTTCCAGAAGAGGAAATTTTCTTTTCCCATTGAAACTTATTTAGTGTACCTAGAAGGCCCTTGGCTTCCAGAGGTGTGACACTGGAAAGATCCAGACACAGTTGAATTAGAATCTTGGCTCTACCATTTACTGCTGTATGAACTTGGTTAAGTTACTTTGAGCCTGTCTTTCCAAATTTGTAAAATGGAGCTAAAATATTCACCCCATGTGATTGCTGTCAGGGTGAAGTGAGCTAACACGAAATATTTAGCACAGTGCCTGGCAAGTAGTACACATATAATGTTTCCTGTTCCTCCTTCTCTCCAATATAGGTTCTCCCAGACGTAGGGGGCAGTTGATTTATAAATGTCTCATACAACAATAGCTCATGCATGCAGAGAGATGATGATGCAGTGAGAACATACCAAGCCATGATATTCTTTATCTGAGTGCCAAAACGTGGCTGTTATAGTTGGGGGGAGGGTGCAAGGGAGAGTAATGACATGTATCTCTGATAGCGCTCTTTCTTTATTTTCTTGTCTTGGTTTGAAAAATGCTTTATTTTTGTTTTTGATTCCCAAGTTTTATTCAGGAAGTCATACAAGTGAATTTTTTTTTTTTTTTTTTTGGTGACGGAGCCTTGCTCTGTCACCCAGGCTGGAGTGCAGTGGCCGGATCTCAGCTCACTGCAAGCTCCGCCTCCCAGGTTTACGCCATTCTCCTGCCTCAGCCTCCCGAGTAGCTGGGACTACAGGAGCCCGCCACCTCGCCCGGCTAGTTTTTTGTATTTTTTAGTAGAGACGGGGTTTCACCGTGTTAGCCAGGATGGTCTCGATCTCCTGACCTCGTGATCTGCCTGTCTCGGCCTCCCAAAGTGCTGGGATTACAGGCGTGAGCCACTGCGCCCGGCCCAGATAAGTGAATTTTAATCCTCATCTTCCTCCTCTTCTGCATCCTCGTTAATTTGGGAGTAATGTAACTCCTAACTCTCTGCTGTTAGCAACTATCTGCAACTAATCAAGCAGGTGATTCTTCTTCAGATATTTTTTGGTGAGATATTTCAAATATCTTTTGGTAAAAAGCACCTCAGAAGTCACAGTAATCTTGCTCTTGCTCATTTTGATGGTCATACCCCCTCCACCGAGACTCTCAGCTTTTCTGCTCACTTTGATCCTTTCCTGCAAAAATTGCACAAAATTGGCAGCATCACGATTCCATCTTCTACAGAGTGGGTGCAATCAAGAGTGAACTTCAGAACCTGCTTCTTCTTCTTTTTTTTTTTTATCCTCCTTCGCCACAAGCTTCTTTATGGGCATCATGGCGGCAGTAGAGGCAGAAAGGGAGGTGGGTGAACTACGCAGGCCGGAAAAATGCTTTTTTTTTTTTAAAAAAAAATTATAATGGTGCACATCAACATTTCCCAAACTGCATTATGTAGAACACTAGGCTAGTCAAATAAGTTTGGAAAATGCTACTTTCTACTGCCTCCTTTCTCAGCTTTACGAAATATATTAGTAAAGTGTTTAAAAGTCTCCTAATCTCATTCATAATAAAGAAATGTCTTGATGAGCCTAACTCAGCATTTTACAAACGTATTTGACTCTGGAGTTCCCTCCCTCCCTCCCTCCCTCCCTCCTTCCTTCCTTCCTTCCTTCCTTCCTTCCTTTCCTTTCCTTTTTTTTTTTTTGACAGAGTATTGCTCTGTTGGCCAGGCTGGAGCGCAGTGGTGCGATCTCGCCTGGTTGCAACCTCTGCCTCCTGGGTTCCAGCGATTCTCCTGCCTCAGCCTCCCGAGTAGCTGGCTGGGATTACAGGTGTGATCAAACATGCCTGGCTAATTTTTGTATTTTTAGTAGAGACAGGGTTTCACTATGTTGGCCAGGCTGGTCTCAAACTCTTGAGCTCAGGTGATCCACCCACCTCAGCCTCCCAAGTAGTTGGTATTACAGGCATGAGCCACCATGCCTGGCTTTTTTTCCCCCCTGTATTTTTAGTAGAGATGGGCTTTTGCCATTTTGGCTAGGCTGGTCTTAAACTCCTGGTCTTAAGTGATCTACCTACCCCGCTTTCCCAAAGTGCTGGGATTACAGGCATGAGCCACTGTGCCTGGCCTGGAGTACTCTCTTAGGGTAGCATTTAGATCCCATTGTGGATGCCATTTTGGCTACCCCAGGTACCCACAGTGGTTGTGTCTTAGAGTAGCTCACAAAATCCTACAGAACCTGCAACATACCTCAAACGTTCAG